GGTCAGGGCGGCTAGGGTCTGGAACCAACTTCCAAGAGAAGTGGTGCAGGCTCCTACCCTGGGGGTTTTTAAGAGGAGGTTAGATGAACACCTTGCTGGGGTTGTTTGACCCCAGTACTCTTTCCTGCCATGGCAGGGGGTCGCACTAGATGATCTGCTCAGGTCCCTTCTGACCCTAGAAACTATGAAACTTTCCCTGCTGGTGCAGCCCACCCTGGCTTCACAGATCCCTTTCCAGCCTGCGCCCCGCTTTGGGCCCCACCAGTGCTGGCCCTGGGACACTGGTCTCAAAATGGTGACCAGGGGGTGGGGCACCTGTCAAGGGGCGGGACTACCCATGCAGCCCTTGACAGCTTGCCAAAACTGGTAAGCGGCCCTCTGCCCAAAATAATTGCCCACCCCTGAGATACAGCCACATTAAACATGTTTTGGGCTTTTCTGCAAAAAGGAAAAAAGAACTGTTTCATTTTGAGGTATCAAAAGAAAAGCCAAGGAAGCAAAGAGCTAAATTTACAGACCAGGAAACAGCAGTGGCACTAATTCATGCCACTACCTTTTCCAGTAGCTGGCCCTTGCCAGGACTGTAAGAAACACAGGTTCAAGTCCCTTCTCTACCTACAGGGATTTCCACCCTGCCCTGGAGTATGTGAACCAGCTCACAATGGGGTACTCTGGCACAGCATGCTCCAAAGCTCTCCTACATCTGAATGAAATGCTCAAATACTCACTGAGCCAGAGTGAAAGAGTGACTAGCCTGGTGGGTAGGATGCTCTCCTGAGAAGTGGGAGAACTTGGCTCCCCCCCGCTCCAAATCAGGCAGAGAGCAGATATAACACTGGGTCAAAGAGCAAGATGGAAGGAGTGACTTTGTAGACTGGTGGGGAGGGTCTCACCTGGCAGGCGAGAGATACCACTTTGCTCCAGCAAGCGCGAGCATTTCCAAAGCAGAAGAGCTGCAAGGCAGAGATTAAGTGCACCCTGCCCTATAATGCCCTGTATCCTGGCACTGAAGTCATTCTCCCGGGAACTGGAGACGTGGGTTCAAACTACACTGGGCAGAGGAAGACATGAACCCAGGCATCCCAGTCCTGGACGACTGTCCTAACCATAGGGAAGTAACGATACTCCCTAATCCAACCGTCACCACCACCCCTTGTTTTGTGGCATGCTCTGTGAATTTAGCCATGAAAAACTCTGTAAGTCAACAGGGCAGCTTATAGTGTATGATTTGTGAACTATCAGAATTGTACTCATTACTTTGTAAATGCATACAGACATACTGTCCCTTAAGCAAGAAAAGAGACCTCCAGACAACAAAATTAACTGTATTATTCACATTGAACAAACATGAATATCCTCTCGTTTCTCACTGTATAAAGCAGAGGTATTAAAAGACCTATCATAAAACTTTCAAGAAAAGAAACTTCCAGATGTGCTTGTATATTATGGCTAACACATTCTGTAGGAGTTCCTATTCCCATTTCCATGCCAGAGTTTAAAGCAAAAATGACTCAACAGCTGTTTCTTAGGGAGAACCAGCATTTTGTCTCCCCCTCACTTTACTCCCTTGTTGGCAGAGTGTTGACACAAGTTATAGAAAATAAAAGGGATACACACTGCTGTTTTAGGATTAAAATATGTAGTTTTTAACTAAGTTTCTTAGTTTTAATCATACAGACAATGAATCATATAACCTCATGTAGCTGATGTACTACTAGGCAGCAGCTCTTTGCTCATAAAATATGGTAAGCGCAGGGTTATGCAGAAACCCAGACCTGTTCCCTTCCCCTGAAAAGCCCCCGTTGTTTTCTGCAATGAACGCTCACCAAACAGGCATGCTAATAAATTCTGAGGACTTCTTGTCTAGTGTGTTAAGTGTCTTTTGCAAGGAAGCAGCCAATTTATGGGCCCATGGACATCATCCAACTCAGTTAAATTCCAGCTACAGGGGAGACCAGAGATAAGGAAGACCCCTTTGTACATCTTCTCAGCGCTCATTTTTGCCTAACTGACCCTTTCTAAGGACCACTAACAAACTGGTTTGAGCTGGTTCTCTGAGACCCCAAGAACTACCTAAAACTTCTCTTAGTCACACCTCCCCCATAAAGCCTCCCTCCCACTTTGGACTGACAATCCAGTGCAAAACTTGGTAAGAAATTCATACCACATATTTCCTCAAAACTCTTCCTTTCTGCCAATGTGCCGAATTATTGGTGCTATGCTAATGAAGTCCAGAGTCATCTGAATTGTCTTATAAATCACTTGACCAAATAGGAATTTCAGCAGGGTGCCATGTGGTCAACTGGCCAGTAATCAACTGAACTCTCCTTAAGCAAAATCATTACTTAAAGTATTACCCCCTGAAAGTTCTATATCATAGTTAACAGGCGTTACTGCATTTGCATGTTAGGAATATGCAATACTGAGGCTGTTATATTTTTAAATAGGCAATCCTTCAGTGCTATTTTTCTCAACCATTCTGATTTGACAACAACATTTTATTCTTCAAACATGATCTCATTCTTGTCAGTTTTCTTTACCCAAGTATGTTTATTTAGATCAGTGGTCTCCAAAGTGGGGTGCACAAGACGATCCACTGGGGTGCAGAAAGAAAATATGAGAACTTCTATATACATATATTGGGGGTGCATGCTCAAAAATTTTTTACTGATAGCGGTGCGCAATCAAAAAAGTTTGGAGACCACTGATTTAGATCACTGCTAAAAATATTTAAATCTCAGCTGACTTGCCCTCTGACAAAGCCTTTCATGAACAGCTTTAACACGAATTTAAGGGGAAGGTTTAAAAGCAGGTTAAACTAGAACTAGTCAAAAATTCATTTGAAAACTTAGTTTTCCATCCAGCACCAGTTTCTGGTATAGGTTTTTAGGATGATAGGAAAGGCAGGCTGGAAAGGATCTCACAAGGTCATCTCATCCAGCTCCAGGCTCAGGGCAGGATTATTCCTGATTAAACCCTCCCAGTCAAGTGACTGTCCAACCTGCTCTTGAAAACTCCCAAGGATGAAGGTTGCACAGCTTCTCTGGGCAGCCTGTTTCAACAACCTCATGGTCAGAAAGTTCTTCCTACTGTCCAACAGAAACTTCCTCTGCTGCAGTTTGAGGTCATTGCTCCTAGTCCTAGGGGTCAGGATCCTAAAAAAGTGTTCAAATGAGCCTAGCTAGATGGAAAGAGGGATTTCAAATTTTTTTTTTTCCTTACAAAAAGCACCAAGTTACAGGTGCCCCAATTCATGTCCAGCTGTCTGCTTCCAAATCCTCACTTTGGTTTTAGCCTGACTGCAGCTGGGACAGGGGCGTGTGCTTCAAATGAGATTTAAAAAAGCAAGCAAGCAAGCAGGAAAACTTTTGTTGTATGCTTATTAGAACAAGTTTGTTCCCATCTAAAAACACATGCAAACAAGCTTGCTTCAGAAGGAAGCAATGTTATACAAGCTTGCAATTCAAGTAAACAGAGTAAGAAAAAAGCTACTATTTACAAAGTCCAGCCTGACCCAGCACTAAAAGTCACAATCCAAGCAGAATTAGTTAAAGGTGATGTAATGGCCAACAGGAGTCCATTTATTTTTAAAATACTTGTAACTGCAAAAAGTTCATTAAAGACAAGTGTTGGAATTGAGGAGGGTGAATTTGCACTTCTGGATTACAGCAGAAATACAACAGAGCATGGCCCTTTGGAAAACTTATTTCTAGTGATATCCCCGCTTTTGTTGTCTATTAAAGAAATAAGGCCACAATCTCTACAGTTCTTTTACTTTTAAATTTTATGGCTATTGCATCACTTTATAAAATGTGAGAGTTCATAGAAGTAGGGGTCAGAAGGGAGCTTATAGATCTTCAAGTCCGACCCCCTGCCAGGGCAG